ATTCAAGTTTTGTGCAAAAACGCATGATCGCTCCGGCTCGCCTGGTGCGTTCCAACCTACGTTTGACGAACGACCGTCCTAGCAATATTTCCTCTTTTTAGTGAACTGGGAATTTGCATTTTTTCAAAAGGCGATTTTTACCGAAAAAACGACGGGGCTTCATGAAAAAACTGGTAATCGTGTCCGTGGAGGTCCATGCAGCCCTATAATGCAACACTTTCATCCCAACCGACGCCCTTTCTCCTGCACGCCGGAAGAAGCCAGAGCGTGGCCAATATGAGCCCAAGTGTTAGGCTACAACGTAGGGATCATTCTTGCTAATAGCGATCTGTAAATTTAGTGCAAAAACGCCTGATCGCATCAGCAAGCCTGATGCGTTCCAGTTTGGGTTTTACTTACCACTGACCGCTTTTTACCTCCCTGTGTTGATTCGCCTGCGTTGTTGCTTAGGTTCTGAGCTGTGTTCTTAATGCATAAAGAACGTGTGTAAGTAACCTGTGTTGCAGTTCCTGTCATCACTCGTGCTGGCATTGGATATATTTTGCTATCAATTTTAGCGCATTTCATGTTGAGCTCGACAAGCACCACACGGAAGTTGGCGCCACCAAGGTCGAGCACCAAAAACTTCCCTTTCTCAGTACCATCCGGCAAATCGCGCACAAATGATGGCAGCATCTTCAGGCACGATTTCTCACCTAAACCGCACGTAAACATTTTTACAAGGCCATGAAACACTTCTGAACACCTTTTTCCTCAGTAGTCTAGTCAAGGATTAATGCGTTTTTCTTCCCATATAGCTTGAAATCTCACAACTTTTAAAAAAACTAACAGCATTTTGGTAGTTTCATTAATTAATTATATATCCCGCCTTGCCAACAATCGACTCATTGACGCACTAGTGTGTGGTACCTTCGGGGAAGAAAGCGACCTTTCTAGTGACCCCTGATGGGGTGGGGAAGGGGGAAGGGGGGGGAGGAGAGTAGTGTACACACACCGAACGGACAATGGAGCTAAATGAAAATATGCAGTTCAGAGTCGAAGGCCCGACGTAACTGCGCCGAAATTTAGGAGCATCCTAACAAAATTTTTTCACTAACGTGAGAAACCTCTGCACAAATAGCTCGGGCTGCTTTAGTATTCACTGTACAATTTTTTATTTTGACGGATTCCAGTTGGTAAGGAACCTCTCATCGTGATCCAGGAGGGATAACTTTCAAGACATCTCGAAAAGATTAAAGACTTTTTCAATGATTCAGCTGGAAAAAAACCCTTCACAAAACAAAGAGCTCATGCTAGAATCATCAGCCGGCTGACCATACAAGCGATTGGCCAAAGCAACTGGAGAAATAGCCACTTGTATCGCTAGAAAAGCAGCTATCAACTACAGTCAGTTGCGGTATCGAGCATATTTTGATAGATTGCAGCTACTAAACATTGGCAAAATTAGTCGAAACCTCCTCCGTACCTCGCTCTCTGTGAGGGATAGAGGCATTCGGATACAGCTCGATGGTAAGCATTTGCAAAAAACACCATTCGCTGATAAGACAACTGTTAATTCTTTCTTGCGAAGGTGTTTAGAGGTGAATTAAGTAAGAAATTTCCTTTTGAAAAGTACTTGAAAGTCATTTTTTTCCTGTGACACCTCGCTACTCTAGTCTAGCTGCCTCCTTCATTGAAAATAGCTTCAAAATGGAGGGAATCAACAGTTTTGAAGCACAGTCTACTGCTGATAAAACTGCATAGTTCGGTCGCAGACCTCAGGAGGATGATAAAGAGGGAAAGGTGTCTGAGGAGTTTCGCTTTCGATTTCGTTGAGCTTAACAGAACCAACCTCGTAATCCTTTGCTCATTTTATTATTCAGCACAGCCATCATCCTTCGCAACACATTGTCGTTAACGATTAGTGATTTGCAAATTTGTTTCACCTTAATGCATGCATAATTATTGTTAAGCGCTGAAGCGTATCGATGCTTCAGAATCATGTATTAGCTTCTGAACAATTAATGCGGGCATTTAAAAAAGCATCGCTAATAGTCACAACCACGGGATGGGGCTGGAGACGGAAAGGAGTCAAGTATCATCCCCAAGTGCGCACAGTTTTGTGAGAAACTCGTTGTCAAATATTCCGTTGCAAGGAAATCTTCAAAACAGCAGTATTTTAAATGAAATTATTTTAGGATCAAATTCCATTTGAAGTAGGGGTGATTCATACCTTGTTTCCTGCTTCTTCAAGACTCCCTTCTACTTTAGTCCCCTTATTTTTAAACCAACATCTTTTCTTCGCTTATTATGCATTTTTGCTGTGCAGCGCTGTAGCGCTGGTACAGCGAACAAAAAGGCATATTGTGAACGAACCCAGTATGCGTGCGTGTGTGCGTGTGTGTATGCGCGTGTGCGTGTGTGT